CAAGGCTGCACGGGGGAAGATCCCTTCCATGCAGAGTCTAGGACCTGGGATGTCCTAGACAAGGACCTCGAATCCAGGCCCAGGACCAACGTCCGACTAAGAAATCTTTTAAGAAGCATTCAACAGTAACACGGGGTTTTCTTTTTTTTCTCAATCTCAACCCCTATTTAATCCTTAAGCGTGGGCCTTCACATGTCACGCGAATCCCCAACATATATACATAGAGGAGGGGGGATAAGTATGTGACGATCACTTCTCACAATCACAGTGAGACTCCTCATAGCCATATATATATGTGTGATCTCAGGCAGTCAAATCCAACGCCTAACCACCAAACATACATGCAATCACATCAAAGATTCAACCAAAAGTCCATCCACTACACGGGGTCAACTTCAACCAATCTCTATACGCATACCCCTCGCTTTAGCCATGCAAGCCCCAACCTTCGTCCAACCAACCTTAATTAAATACTCAGTACCTTTGTTAAATGGCCACTCAATAAAAGTCTGGGTGAAAACCTTAATAAAACAATAAAATCACCAGGGCTAGCCTTTTAGGTTGAGCATTGATAGTGAATTGGAGTTGAGTCGTAAGTCGACGAATTGGCAACCGACCTGTTATCAGTGATAACAGAAGATGATACTTGTAGGATAAAACTGAGTCTAGTCCTGATCTTGAATCAAACGATCAAGAGGACCTGTAACACAGACAGACCAATTCCCAGGCTAAACCTATAAGTCCATGGAGAATAATTTTCATATCACGGTCTCAGTCAAAAATCACCCTAATTACTCAAGTCTGAGTCTACCTCTAAGCAAAGTACTCAAGAAAAGGTAGATTCCGACAAGATCTCCTCCATACAGAGTGAATCGCCAGAATTGCCACCTGTCAAAATATATTCTAACTTTTCTAAGAAAATTTCGGCAACGCTTCCCGTAGGAAAAGTGCCTTTCTAGAATTTATATAAACTCGACTATAATCTGAAATAAATCTCTAACTTAAGAAGGCTTAAATTTTGTCTAACTTCCTGAATTAGTAAAAACTTGGACAGCACTCCCTTTAGAAAGGGAGACTTCCCAGATTTATACTAACTCATATTTGAACTCAAAAGATAACTCGAGTTCAACTAAAACAAAATTCAACCAACTCCTTAGCTATGCAGAAATTCCGACAGCATTCCCTTTAGAAAGGCGCTATTCCAAAATTCATACAAAGCTAAGTTCAAAATTTGAAAATAATTTTGACCTTTCAAACTCCAATTTTTGTCTAATTCCCTAAATTAGTAAAAATTTGGGCAGCATCCCCTTTAGAAAAGGAAACTTTCCAGATTTTTACCGAGTCCTGTACAAAACTTTGGCAAGTTGAACTTTGAAAAAACTTAGGCAACTTGGACTTTGAAAAGTCAAAATCTGACTAACTCCTTGGATTTGTAGAAATTTCGGCAACGCTTCCCGTGGAGAAAGTGGCTTACCAAGATATGTACAAGCCTAAGGAAAATAAATGATCTCAGAAAAATGCAAAAATTGATCTAAGAAAAATAAAGTTAACTAAAAAAACGCAAAAATCGAAACTAACTCTTATGACTCTAGCACGTGGCGAGCAACTAAAGCAACTACCTATCAAACTGAAACTCAGACTAGGTAGTGATCTCACTCAGCCACATGCAAGACCACACCACAAAGGTAAGTACTCTCACCAACCCAAATCACCTTTGGCAAACAAATAGTTCATAGTCTTTCAATGTTTTATCCCTTCATACCCAGCTTACATAGGACATCGAGTTAGGTCATTCATCTTAGAAACAATGCCAACTCTTTGTCTTAGTTATACACGAACAGGTTGCACAACTACTTTTCTCTTCATTGGGCATATGACTAAGAAATTCGTCTCAGAAACATTGCTTCGTCGCCCTTATTTATTTAAATAGCCAAGTTATATATATATCTCTGAACTTAATCTTCAAAAATGAGCGTAGGACTGAGCTATTCATCTTAGCAACAATGCTCAGCCGGCCCAAGTTACCTTGAGTTATAGCTCTTAGTTATACTCTCTTGATTTGTGATAAGGCTATAGTCAGACCATTCATCTTACAAACAATGTTTGGCTAGCCTTGTTCTTATAAACATCTAGATATAGAAAATATAGAAAGTCTTATTCCTATGTTCACATTATAATCCTGTGGCCTCAGACTTAGAAAATTCATCTTAGAAACAATGTCCAGTCTTCGGCCTGAACCTCCCCTCAGAAAAAAACAACCAAAAGAGTTGAGCCATTCATCTTAGAAACAATGCTCAACCCTCTTTTCTGAACACACAAAAAAAGCAGAGTACCCTGGGTCAAGACCCGGAGACTGTTCAGAAACCACCCAAAAACAAACAGCGACCAGACCATTCATCTTAGAAACAATGTCTGACCCTCAAAGTTTGCAAATCAATATCCTATAGAAACAACAACCAGGCCATTCATCTTAGAAACAATGTCTGGCTTAAATTAAATAAACACAGCGACCAAGCCATTCATCTTAGAAACAATGCTTGACCCTTCAGAAAACAGAACAAAACACGACAGTCAGGCCATTCATCTTAGAAACAATGCCTGACCCTATAAGACCCGTTCAAACGCAAGCAAAACTGCCTTCCACCCAACCTTCCCCCTGATGCAACCCCTTTTCACAATCTGCTTTCAGACAAGCAACAAAACTGAAACTGAAACTTGTGCATGCATTCTTTTACTTAGTCTGGGTTGTGTCATGAAAGTCAAACTGAAAGTCAAAGTAGGGGTGCATTCAATATACTCAGTCAGATACATAGAAAGATGTATAGATAGGGGTTATAACTGGGTTTATAAGGGAAAACAATGGTTACCTCCGAGTTCCCCGCCGCCATAACCCCTCCTAAGTTCCGGCAGAGCTCCCGCAATCGGTGGGTTGACTCCCCACAGAGTCTTAACGGGGACCTACAAGTTGCAATCCCGCCTGCCGCCTTCCTCTCAGAACCAATAGACTAGAAGTAAGAAGGGTAGAAGAAGATAGATTTGAGACTCTCAAATCCAAGAGAGGTGCACTCAAACTCGCAGGAGAGCGCCTTCAAATCTTCAGCGCCTGAGGGCCCCACAATGATGGCCAAGAGTAACAGTTTGGTCAACCCGAAGTCAAGCTGCTGAAACAGACTCTCCGAGCGAATCCCCAAATTGCAGCAATAATCCCCTTCGCAAACTTAAGTCACCCCTCTAAGTCTCCACACTACCGTCTCCCTCGATGAAACTGCAGTCCCTCGGCTCCGAATAGTTGTCGCAGTAAGTTGTCAGCAGTTACTAGGCAATATAACAGCAAACACCCATCAAGAGGGCCGCACACAGCTAGGAGCAATCAGCACCACTGTCCCAACAACTCCCTCCAGGGGTAACAGCCGCAGCGATGGCCAACAGCCAGCAACAGCTGCAACCTGCTAATGTGGCCAGCAGGAGTAACAACAACCGAAGGTGGCACAACAACAAGCTCAGTGCAACAGTGAGCAGAAGTAATGCAGCCCATAGCAGACTGTAACAACCAGCAGGGGCAAATGAAGTGCGTGACGGCCTGATTATGATACTACGGCTCGAACCCCAGTCACCCTCTACTTCAATCCAACAAGACGGTCAGTGCTTCTGCCAAATTCCTCGTTGCCTTGCCTCTGTTGTGCTTTCTTCAAGGCTGACTAAGACATGCCACTCAACATCGGTGCACGGCAGCATCGAGCAATAGTGGGTTTAACACTTCTCAGCAATTGCACAGTAATGGCACGGAGCTCAAACGTAGTAGCAATATCTGCCAGCACCAGCATCCCCCAATAAAACGTACAACAATGCGGTGTTCAGCAGCTGGCGGCGGATAAAAGTGGCTCCTTCCGTCCTTGATACTCAGACTCCACCCACGATTGTCAACACCAATCAGCCGGAAGGTATATAGCGGCAACGCCTCTGGCACATAGCTGCAACTGGGCAGAGAGTATGGTCACCTCCGTGGCCGGACGACGGTCCGCCTGAGTCCGCTGGCTGTGTTCGCTGCCCAGGTATGGCACACTCGCCCCCGTTGAGGCTAGAGTCCAATGTCTTCACGCCTTCAACTTAGAGTTCAAGGCTCGTGTCCACATTCCCCTCATCGGCCTTAGCTTCAGTAACGACCTTGCTACGACGGCCAGTGCACTTGTACGGATCATGGGGCCGGTCAATACGACCATTCAAGCCGCGTCAGCAAGCAGCCTCACGCCTCTCCGCTCAATCGCGGCCCTCTAGGTAAGCTCTCACACCCCGTCGCCCACTTCCCACTGTTTTTACCGAAGGGGGAAGCACATCAAATGAATCCTCCGCTAGAGGCTGACTAGGTACATGTGCGCAAAGAGATAGGGAGACACTACTCCCATCGTTAGAAGCAATCACACCAGCCAAACAAGTACATCCCCAACCTTGCTACTACCCTCTCATTCGCTGCAACAATGGCTAAGAAAGGAAGGAAATTCGAATGAATCTCCTGTTCGATAACAGGCAGGTTCATTCGCCTTTCCGACTCCCTCCACACGTGCAGCTTCGGCAAGTCGCAGCGGTAGGACCTCCTCGGCAGATTATGAGTCTAGACTCGCTACTGGCCTCACAGCGCCCAAGAAACCCCAAGCGAATCTCTATTCACCCGTTCTCATAGCGAATCAGCTGAGTTAGTCGTCGCCCGCGCCCTTATTAAGGTCGCCTTCCCCTTCTCTCCGCGCAGTTTGTTCTTCTCCTACCTCCTTTCCTACTAACTCTCTACTTAATCTAACCGCGGATTCCGGATCACCCTCCCCCAAAACCCCAATTTTGACTCCTCCCCTGCCCGAATCATCAAGAAACAAGTGAGTTACTCAATCTTTCACTCCCACCACCTTCGCTCGTTTGATCTCACCGCTCACTGCTTTCCCTATCTACTCCAAACCTACTAACCTATCACTAAAACTAACACTACCATCTGATTCGCCTGGGGCAAAAACCCTGGGATCGCCTTTTCTCTTTCTCGTTTTCGTTCGGAATCGAGAGTGCTATGCCTTCTCGATCGCACCCGGCTCCTCCCTTCGCCATCGCCCCTTGCTGTCTCCCCATATCGAATGCATCTGGCCCGCACTGACGCCCAGGTTCCGCCCCGCATGCCGCTGCGCAGCGCTGCGCGATCAACTTCGCTGCCTGCTCTCCGTCGGCCAGTCGTCCCCCAGCCCATCCCTTTTCGTCCGCTCCGTAGCGCTCTGTGACGATCGCTCCTACCGCAGCATGCGGTTCTACAGCCTCCCGTAATTCACCATCTGCTCCTCTTGACATCACCCCGGTCCTCCAATACTGCGCGGTCCGATGGTCATTCAGGCGTCAAAAAAGAAAAAGCGCCCGATAGTCGGACCTTCTCTTTGTTTATGTGTCACCCTTGCGAAGGTGCCATTCTAATCTTCTCTGTATCATTCCAATTTTAACGGATGTCCCATAGGACTCAATCGGGGCAATGCCCCTTGGTACTACTAAAGACCACCCGGCCCTTGCGACGGGCCTCCTAGTGGAGGGCCATCATGATCCCCCCCCTTTGCCTGGGTCTGACCGCGGCCTGCATTCCAACCGTTCATAGGTGTACCCACCGAGCTTAGGCTTTCGGGTCAGCGGCCGGTCCCGAAACCAGTACCGGACTCTCCAAAACAAAAATGAGACCGATGGGTAGGGGAGGAAAAAACCACCGGTACTTCCTCGGTCCTGCCAGGCGGGCCCGCGATCAGACTCCCTTAACAAAACTAAGGGGGATAGCCCCGCGGGACCCTAAACCCCTTAGCTTCTCCAATGCTCCACTGCTCCTGCGCCGTCGCCCGCTGGCCTCGATCCTCGCACCTCCGTGTCATAAGTCCAATGTCGTAACCTATAGGGCTAAGACCAAGACTGAGACCAGCGCGTGCAGGCTCCTATATAAAATGGTGCAACACGACGCTCAGGGCCAAAAAAAAAGGTGGTCCGAGCCTCATCTCCGCCTACAACCAAGCGTGCGGCCGTTAACCACCCTCGCCAGCTTACTCCAACTACGCCACGGTTGCCACGCGCCCCCTCCCGTACACCAAACCTACCGCCGGTCAAGCGTGCAGGACAATGCCCAAGCCTTTTAATCCCCCGTCTAATCGCTAATAAAAATCAAGTCATTTGGCTATGTCGGTTTCACAATTAAAATACAAGAAAAGGAATCACATGCGCGCCTTAAAACTGCGCGCCCACTCACTGTCCTTAGTCGAACGATCCTTAGTCTGCGTATGCCTGGTGTAAAATACCATTGTATTCGAGTAGCGAAAGACTCACAAGGAATTCCCAATCGACGTCGAGGCAGATCAAAATATGGTACCAAAAAACCCCAAATTGAAATATGAACCGAAAAATCTCACAAGTCTCGCTCTTCGAGCCTTTGATTTAAGAGAATTGCATGAAAAACTTTTCGGCTTTTTCGAAGACTCTTAGGAAGAAAAGCTATATGACCAGCAATTGCTACTGCGTAGCCTCCATTTACTGAATAAAAAAAAAAAAACTTTTACACGATTATTGTCACTTCGCCATATTTGTGTTAATTCAGTCCAAACTAGTTTATTTTTGCATTCCTTTTTATTTGCTTAGGCAAAATCGTTTTTGGTTCACCAAACACTTCTACATTTTCTACTCCAAAAAGCGCCTTAGTATACTCTACTTGTTCACCTGTGTCGGTTTGGGGTACGGTTCAATCTACAATTGATTCTAGAAGTTTTTTCCCGGAAATTGAGGCCCTGTCCAATCATCTAATTTTGTTTTGTTCAGTAGCGCTAGCTTAATTCAAATTTCGTCACTTTCTAGTACCCATCGGCGCCGGCTTTCGGGGTTTCCTTAGGGACCAATTCACTCTGCGTAGATTGACTGAACGTAGAAACCCTTGAACTTTCGGCCAGATCTTCGCAGTGAGCCTTTTTATCCGCAACCTGCGGCGGTTGCCCTCTCTATCGACGACCCTCTATTGACAATGCTCTTCAGTCGCATGACAAATTTCTCAATCCTTTTTTAACTGGATTTTATTCGAAGGATGTGATCTTAGAACTTATACTAAATATACCATAAGTGGTAATTTGGCTTTTTGGCTTGGAAGTCTTTCTGTATTTTTGACTTCTTATTATTCTTTTCGTTTACTTTTTTTCACTTTTCTTGATCCAACCAATGCTTTTAAGCGAGACATCGAAAAATGTCATGATGATCCTACTCTGATGGCAATCCCTTTAATACTTTTGGCTTTTGGAAGTCTTTTTGTAGGATATTTGGCCAAAGATATGATGATTGGTTTAGGTACTCGTTTTTGGGCAAATTCTATTCTCATACTACAAAAAAAAAAAATTATGTTTTCGGCAGAATTTGCCACTCCAAGAATGATGAAACTAATACCCATTTTGTTAAGTGCAATAGGCGCATTTTTGGCGTATCGTGTTAATTTTTGTGCAAATCAATTCCATGCGAATTAGTACAGAGAAGCGTGTGCCCATTACTCTAGCAATTGCACCAAAGATGAGATATAAAGTACCTATATCCTTGTGGTTTGTGGAAAACAGCCATCTCTGTGCAAAATTTGTCATATCAGTTGTTCCCCATCTTTCAGTAATAAAATGCTTTGTTGAACTAGTTTTGACTGATGTTTTCGCAGTTTTGAAAAGCGAAATTCGTCACAAACAGTTTCGCGAATAATGTTACTTGCTGTAAATTTGAACTTTTTAGTATTTTCTGTTTATCTAGATGACATGATGGGTCAATTATTTGCTTTATTCGTATTAACTGTAGCTGCTGCAAAATCTGTTATTGGGCTCGCTATTCTTGTTATTACTTTTCGAATTCGTGGCACTATTGAAATCTACCCAAACCAAGCTTCTCAAAACAAAATACAGACTTTGATTCAAGCGCGTAAAACAGAATTATCGTACTTTTGTAGTGATTTCATACTTGAACAAGTCCGAGTCTATTATGTTCGATATGAGAAAGATTGGATTCGGTGTGAATTTGGTCGTTGCCCACGAAATGGATAACAATTGAAACCGGATGCAAGGCCTTCCTATGCTGCGATGCTCAGTTGACTCCTGCAAGTTAGTTTCACTTTGAAGAAAGTGCATATATCCAAAACATGGTTGTGGCTCATTTCCTTTGAGGAAACCTTGAAGTCTTCCATAGGGTTCGCCGGTTGCCGGGTCTCCCTCTCACTGACAGAATCAGACAGACTCTCTCTCTCTCTCTATCTATCTATCTATCTATCTATCTATCTATCTATCTATCTATCTTACAGACTTTCTCTCTCTCTCTCTCTCTCTCTCTCTCAATGTGTGAGTGCCTTCCTGTCAATGAGTCTCCCTCTCTCCCTCTCTCTCTCTCCCTCTTTTACCTCTCTTTCTCTTTCTGAAATGCCCTTTCTCTCCTTCTCTCTATCTTTCTCCCTCAGTGTTTCTCTCACTCTCCATCTATCTATCTATCTATCTATCGTTCTCAATCTCTTAGAGTCTCTCTCTCTCTTGCTCTCTCTCTCTCTCTCTCTCTCTCTCTCTCTCTCTCTCACAGAGAACAACCAAACAAATTATACAAAGGAGCGTTAGCTGTAGTTTGAGAATCTGTTCGACTTCAGATAGGTGATCGTAGGCGCCAGTCGTTCTATTCTTTTTTAAAAGAACCGGCCCATCAACAAAACGAGAACATACAATACAAAATGAAAAATGAATGGTTATTTCAGATTGCTTATATGGACACTGCAGAGCCTTGGCAATACGGATTTCAAGATGCAGCCACTCCTATGATGCAAGGAATTATTGAGTGCACCCAAGTCGCAGATCTCGATTGCAGGGCGGCTCCAACTCTGCCACACCATCTCAAGTTGGCCCAGGCCAAGGGTGTGAGCTACACGCGCGTGGTATGCCTAGTGATAGGTCATGCCTGAAAGCAGCACGCGAAGTTGTGAAGCAAGTCGCATATCATATCAAGGAATTGAAGCGGCGCGTCGTGCCATCACCACGAAATTTCAGAGAAATGGTAAAATATGGGTGAGAGTTTTTTCAGATATTTCTATTACCAGCAAACCTACAGAAGTAAGGATGGGAAAAGGAAAAGGAAACCCTACAGGTTGGATTGCTAGTGTTTCCCAAGGACAAATTATTTTTGAAATGGATGGTGTTAGTTTATCAAATGCTCAAGCAGCTGCTACTTTAGCTTCACACACCTGAATATTATCAGACACCAGTAAATATGTTCCAACAGTAATCACACTCTTCGAGCCTTTTTTTTTTACTACTGTTTATTTGTTTTTGTGTTTTGCATTGATTGACTCTGAGCTAATTACGACCATTGAACAAACTTGGTGGACAAACATAATTTATGTGAAGCTAAAGTAACAACACACTATAATTACCATAACAGATTCTTTTGGAGATACCAAATCTTGGTCCTCTTTTGGTTCTTGTTTTATAGTACGTGTGATAAATTGAGAAGCGGCTTGTTTCATTTCATGTGTTGACAACATCTAAAAAAACAACAAACAAAATGAAATTGCATATAATTGGCATTTTAGCCAAAATACTTGGAATAATAATACCACTTTTACTACCGTTGGTGATTTGAAGAGAACTGAGAGAAGCCATCCCTAGTACGAGAGGACTGGGATGGGTCGACCTATGGTGGACCGGTTGTCATGATAGTGGCATTGCCGGGTAGTTACGTTGGTATGCGAGAACCGCTGAAAGCATATAAGCGGGAAACCCCCGCGTCCCGCGCCGATACTCCAAAATTTCCGAATTAGTCAAACTTTCTGTCACTTGTAAAAAACAGTGCGGATATCCTTGTCAGGGTATTAGCGCCGACAACTTATCGAACCATATTAAGCGACGTCCCCGTCGCTTCGCCAAATCAGAAAGCTATAAATTCATCCACTCTCCAAATGCTGACGATAAAGGAACCAATCCGATTAGCCGACGGACTCAGGTTCGAGGCCTCCATCAAACTGTGCCAACACAACTGTATGCTGCCGGGGTTTTAACCTGGGTCTCCATTGTCCTGACACTAGGACGCATCGGTACTACATCATAAGTTTCAAAGACCCTCATAACCATCCTCTCCCCTTTGTCCTAGACAAACGCTAGCTTCTCGTTGAGTGTCCCAGTTAGTCTCTTCCCTGTAAACAGGGCCATAACTAGGGATGCGGGCCTTAACCGAGACCTTAGAAGGTACTCTCGCCTTCCTCCCAAAAGTCCTCACAATCAAACACACATACATATATACACTTAAATCTCATCTCAACTCTTTCTGCAGTTTAGTACAGAAATGCTAGGTCTCCTCCTGGCCCACCATAGTCTGGTTGATTGAGCCAGATCTACGGCCCACCGTGTTGTTATCTTAGAGGCAGTGCCTTCACTGGTTACGCAACGATAGGCTTTCTCCTGATAAGCATTCAATCAGGACTACCCAAAAGACTTCGACAAACTCGACTCATATCCCCGCCATCCCGCCGGAGTAATTCCCTGAGGCGTGCATACCTCTTGAACTCTTACTCCTTCGGTAGACGTGGGCCCGCCGCGAGGTTGTGCCGGTCAGCAGCCATCCGCTAGGGGTTGTGCCCTCGCGGCACTAAACTTTACCGCTTAGCTTGGTCTTCCTCAATATGCCTTAGGATAAACACAAGTGTCTAGACGGTGCGTCACAAAACAGACCACCGACCCACTGCGGGACTACGCAGGGGTCTGCCTCAGTTTTTAAAGGTGTTTACCAGCTCCCTGTGGGACAACACAGAGAGCACGACACCCTTCTCACAATCACAAACAAAATCACCGCCAGGTTCACAAGGTCGTGGTCCCCTGACTTGATCAGAGACAGCAAACCACACATCCTAATAACATCTACCAAATGCACTGACTTGCAACATGCTCAGTTCCACCAATAATCCAAACCGTTTTTCTAATCCTTCTCCTCAGACTTTATCAACTCAAGCTCTGTTTTCCATGCCATTAAATTTTTTACCCACCTTTTAACTTATTAAAGGTGCCTCTCACAATAGGTCTCCCAGCCATCCCTTCCCTCTCTAGGATGAATTTCCACGCGACCTTTTTAAAACACCTTCCTTTTGAAGATGAAGGTCTTCCAATAAACAATATTACCACCTTCCCAATTTGAAGGGGTCTCAATCCATAAAACAACTCAAACTGAGAGGCCAACTTATGGGTCCTCTTCACAACTCATCAATAAACATTTGGCATGGTAAAGCATCCGAGCCTCAAAGGCGCATAAATCCCGTAGGATTCTCACTGTTTTTCACAAACAGGCTGCACTCCTCCTCCTTATACTCTGCCCCATCATCTGCTCATAAGCAGGTCGCATGAGTATACCGGAGGGTAGGCAGCTTTACAGTTTCATATTCATAGACACATGAGATGCATCCCACACATCTCTCACACAAAGCCATCATACATCAGGATAAAACTACACATGTGAGAGCGATCGTGATCGTCATAAAGGCAAGCCTCATAAGGTTTCAACTTATAGTACATTTGGGGGCAAAATGTCCTCCTCAAAAACTTGATACAAGTCCTCAACATCGTCCCACTCATCTGAGTAGAGCTCATGTCCTCGATGTACAAAGTCACACAGTATACTCAAGGACACGAATGAATCCCAACCACACAAGTCACAACATAACTACGTACTCGCACATGTTACTCGATCTGAATGGCATTTTCTAATCTTCACAAAAAGAAAAATCCCCAAGCCCGTCAAGTACCATAACCTACATAGGTACAATTAGACAGGACTCACATGACGGACTCAAGGTATGTACAACTCTAACCCATCCTTTATGTACAAAGGGCCCTAACCCTACTTGGCTCATAGACAAACCAGTCCCTACTCACTCATCTCCTCCTGGTTTTGCCTATACAGCTGAGCTCTACCCCCATCTGCAGTCCGCTCTACTATTCTACCCTGTCTATCGTACATCCTCCCATCCTCTTCATTAACTCTTCCTGCAGCCTTGTCCGCGAGGAACTTCGTACACTCAAGGGCCCTATGCATGCCGTCCGAAAATAGAAACACATATTTTCCGACTTCCTCTGAAACTTCTTCTTCTTCTTCCCATGTGGAGATGAGGACTGGGAAGCGACTGTCATGGCAGGATGGCTCGTGGCTTCCTGCTGCTGCTGCCCAGAGACATGCCCTCCTGAATCTGTCCCTGTGGCCCAAGAACCCAATTGGGCTCTCAACTCTCCCATCTCTGGCACGCGCTTAGGAGTATCCAGTCTCTGAGGTCTCTCTAGTGGCATATCCACCTCCATTGCAGCTACCAACTCGTCCCGGCGCGACACCTCCCTCTTTTCTGCCTTAGGCTGACTAGGTACCATTGCCTCTGTAAGGGTGCCTCCCTGTACCTCTAGCAGGATTACAAGGGAGTCCTCTGCAGACCCTTCCTCAGCATGTGCGGGCTGAGATCCCTGAGTTGGCCCCTCAACAGGAGCCTCAAATAGCATAGGGGCCTCCTGCTGCGAGGCTAACTCTGTGGGGGTCTTAAACTCAAAGCTCCCCTCTTCAACCTTCCTCTTCGTCTCCGCCTCGGCCGGTTCCAGGAATACCTTTTTCAGTTTTTCCTGCTGAGAAGACCCTCTTGCGCCTCCCTGGCCAAATAGTCCCTTCATTCCCTCACCCTGAATGCCGTATCTACTATGCTCAGTCCAATCGACCACCTTGGTAGCCGAAAGCCTCTCTACTGCAGCCGCCATGTCTTGGAGCCTCTTCTCCCATTCAACTTCCTTGGCTTCCATGCGCGTCCTCCAGGCCAGGTTTTCAGCCTTTTCTTCTGCAAGCTGAGTAGTCAACTGCTCCACTTCCTTACTTCTGATCGCCAGTTCGTGACTGAGTAAGGTGTATCGGTGGAAGGATGTGGTCGCCGCCTGGCATATCCTCCTATCCACCCGCTCGATTGCCATCCTGGCGGTGGAAAGTCCCAAATCTCCTACCTCTCTCGCCTCATCCGCCCTGTCGTCGGCCTGCCCCGTCTCTTGCAACCTCTGGCGGGCTGCATCCCTCCTACTCTCCTATCTGGCCCACATCTCGTTGCTCCTTTGCTCACTCGTCCTGCGATCGACTGGCGGTGCCGGCTCTACCCCTGCAGCCTCCATCTCGTTCTTTCGTATATCTCAGCTAGGCATGCTTGCACCCTGGCAGACTTCTCCTCCGCAATTTCTCTTTGTGGCCTCCCTGCCGGCGCTCCGTGGGTACCTCGAGCAAAAGCCTCGGTACGTTTCCCTCTCTCAGCACGCGGCGACCCTAGGGATGGTTCACTCGGGGCGGGCATCTCAATATCAGGGTGCTTGGACGTGTGCGCAGGCAACCGAGAATCAATAGTCGCGCGGGTCTCAGCTCTCCACCCCTCCTCTGGCCTCTCCGTTACTGCCATTTGTCTGGGCAACGTAATATCCTCCTGCGGGGTTATCGGAACCTTACCACTGTCTGCTTCAGGAATTCCTTCCGGCCAGGGCTGCTGCACCTGCTCTGGGGCCGGGGTAGGAGGAGGAGTATCTTCTTCAACTGTAATGACCTCCTCAACCTGTGGTTCCTGTCGCTCGTGTAACTCGGCCTCTGGCTCAGGGCCCTGCGGCTCCCCCATTGGTGGCTCAACCGGATCCATGCTCAATTGTGGGGCCCCCCACTGAGATGCGTTAAGATGGGCCTCTAGACTCCTAAATGGCGTCTCTGACGGTCCACCCTCTTCTCGCTCCGGCGATCGCAACGACGGTCCCTGCAGATCACTGCTGGTGATCGGACGAAACTCCACTTGCCTAAGTTCACAAGCAGGGAACGACTCCACCGCTTGAGCGGGCACCACTGACTCCTCCGCACGCCGCGCCAAGGCCTTCCGGCTTCCCCTTGTCGCGATGGTCTCCCTTGGTTCAGGATCCCTCATCCTTTTACTCCTTCGCCTCCTCTTGACCCTAGGCTCTGGCCTCTCAGGCTCTGGCTGTCGGAACGCCTGTCTCAACTGAGCCTGACAGTCCTCCCAATCGCTTGCCCTATCCCGGATCTGTCTCGCCACTGGCCTCTCTGCCCTTCTGGTCCAAAGGAGCAATGTCTGCATCCACTCCTCCCGCACAATTCCCTGATCGCGCATATACGGCTCGTAGGCTGGAATGAACTCCTCTACATTGCCTTCCTCCAATCGGATAGGCAGGCCATGGCGCCCCATCGGCGAAGCCCTCAGCCTCTGCATCCTCGCCTCAGCATCTGGCCAGGTCACGGATATGTGCGATAGGCTCCTCGAAACGTCCAGCTCCCCTCAGGTTCCGTATCATTTCCAAAGTGGTCCATCCTCTTCGTGTTGCATGACCCTGATAGGCGTCCAAGAAGAGCTCTATGTTATCATCGTCGAAGACAGGCGTAGACTCTCTCCTGAATGGCCCTCGATGGTCATCTCCTCCAGATGCTCCTAGGGGTCTCTGCCGTGGCCGTGCATCCCTCTCGCCCCTCTGCATGACTGTCTTCGAAAAGTCAGATCTGCACAACAGGCGAGTGGAAGCAAACAGGCACACAGTAGAGTCAGCAAGCAGGTCCATCAGATCCACAGCGATACATAACCTAGACACACCTATCCTTTTTATCCTTCTTTCTAGTCTAACCAGGCCATGCGATACTTTTAGACAAGAGTTTATCATGAGGGGTATAGGGCCATTTACCTATTCCCTGGCCACAAATTTCTTCAACCTTGTCCCTGACACCCAATCCTTCCATTCAATTCCGTCCGACTCCTCGATCTGGTAGGCTCCGAACTCGCCGCATCGCACGATCCTGTAGGGTCCCAACCACCGTTTGTCGAGTTTCCTCGACCATTGCTTCTCCAAAAGAGGAATCGTATAGCAACACGACGTCCCCAACTGCCAAAGGTTCCGCTCGCGCCATCTGGTCCCACCACATCTTATCCTCCATGCGGCTCCTCTCCACCTGATTGGAGGCCACCCGTATCCTTTCTTCAACAGCACCCACCTGTCGTGCCCGAATATCGAGCAACTTGTCGAAAGAAAGGTTGGTCTCCAAGTCTTGGCGCCTTCAGGTCTTCAGGAAACTTTATATGGGAAAGGAGGCATGCCTCACATACCACAGAGTGGCCGGCGCGTCCTTAGTAGTCCTCTTTACCGTGACATTCTCAACGAAGAGGGCCGCTCACAGGAACTTCGGCCACTGACCGGGTCTACCTTCTGTCCACTTAGCTAGAAGATTCGTGATAGTGCTATGTCCTCTTTCCACCGGTTTGCTTGGGGATGTGCAGCGGTAGCATAATTCGCCACTACTCCATACCCTGCAAGCAACGTGTGCACCTCTCTGCAAATAAACTCCGATCCTCGATCCATCACAAACTCCTTGACGAAAGGGTAGCGTAGGTAATACTCCTCGATGCAGCTTGCCAAAACTGGGCCGGACTTCGTGCGAATGGCCCGACCGTCCACAAACCCAGTAAGGTTGTCTCGCGCGTCGAAGATATAGTTATATCCATTCTCCGCAACTAGTATGAAGAGCAGATCCAAATGTACAACTGCGCCCACTTCTCTCTCCAACCTTGGGTGTAGGGGTTCCCCTGGCCTCTGCATTGATCTCTCTTGGCAAGGTACACAGGACTGGTAGTACTTGATGCCCATGTCCAACATTCCACTCCAGTAATATAGCTCGCCTATTTTAGCGTATGTGGCATTTACCCCTCTGTGCCCTCCTGCTATACCATCGTATAATGCTGTGATAATGTTGATCTGTCGGTTCCTCCCACATACAATCCACTTGGGATTCCCGACTTGTCGTTTTATAAACAAATGGCCATCCTGAGCACTTGCATCTCTGTCCCTCAATTCACAGGACAGGATTAGCCCCAATTCAAGGTAGATTCCATCATATTCTTCCGCACGAAAAGCTTCCTTGATCTCCCCTTCCTCAAATTCATCATCCTGACTTTCAGGCACAAAATCCTCGCCTTTAGCCGGATTCAATGAGCCTCTTCTATTGAAGTCCCCCTGCAGAAGCGTATTCGTGAGGAGATACATCCCTCCCATTCGTAAGGAGATACATCCCTCCCATCAGCTGCTCATGCTCCTCTACTTGAGTAGGGCCCTCCTCTATCGTCCTCACTTCTTCCGCCAAACTATGTGTACCTGCCAACGCCAATTTCATCATTCAGTGAACGTCCTTGCCTCCCCATGGGTCCTCCTCCTGAAAGGGCTTGAGGACTAATTCCGCCTTTTGCTCATACCCCATAGGCGCTAGCCATATGGGGTGACTGACACAATTAGGCACTCGCAAGGACCACTCGTTTATATGGAGGCGGGCGTCCTCTTCTTGGTCCAAAAACCCATTAACTGGTGGAGTGTCTTCTACCGGCTCCTGATCTGGCCTGTCCTAGTTGATGCAGCCCAAGCCATCTGCCCTATTCTTGTCCCCCGGAATTCTCTCCAGCTCGAAATTAAACATCCAAATGTACGTTAACCATCTTGCGACGGTTGGGTCAGAGGGAGTATAATTCTTAAGGGAACAAGCAAGCGCAGTGAGGTCCACCCTCAATATGAACCTCCTGCCATAGGCATAGTTCCGAAAAATCCTTAGGCAGTGGAGTACCGCAAGCGTCTCCTTTTTAAACTGGGAGTAGTTCCTCTAAGTCGTATTAAGTATGCGACTCTCGAATCTAGTCCGGGTAATTTATACATGTATGGTTTAACGCCACTCACACTCAATAGTGGCCTTTTAGTTACCTAAAAGCTCAGACTCTATCATTATCCTTATGAATGGCTCCACCTCTGTAACCTCATAGTTCGGCGCCCCTAACACCAAGCCTCCTTCCTTGAATTCCCCCTTCATTCTCTTCACGGCCTCTTCCTGATCCGCACCCCACACCCATTCCTAATCCTGACGTACCAGCTTCCGCAAATGCTCGGTCTTGGCGGTAAAGTTTTTCACAAAACTCCTGCAAAATCCACAAGTCCCGAGGAAGCTCCTCACATCTGTTATCGAGTGGAAGGGTACCGGCCACTCGACGATCTTGTCTGTTTTCTTTACATCTGGCCTCCGACCACTCTCATTACAGACAAAACCCAAGATGGTAGCTTCCCTCATGCAATGCTTGGATTTTGGGCCACTTGCTGTAAGGTTGTACTCTTCCAGTAGGCTCAGTACCTGATCAAGGTCCTGAATATGCCTCCAGACGAAACGCCTTACTCTAGGCATCACTTCGTCTTCCCCTCTCTCTCTCGGGCCTTTGACCGCCAAGTCATCAATATAAGGTTGGGTGATGTGCAGACTAACCGTCTGCATGGCTCTAATCATATGTCTTTGCACCATCGCCACTGCATTGGTCCAGCCTTGAGGGGCTACATTCATATGAATTAGCCCTCTTGGCGTATGCATTGCCGTTACTGGCCTGTCCGGCGGGTACACAAGAAACTGGTCATATCCAGAATAGAGGTCTATAAGCGAGATTATAGGCCTCCCCGCACATGACTCTGACAATGCATCCGCGTTTGGCAATCCTCCCGCATCTTGCACTGTTACGGCATTTAGCCATTGCAAGTCCTGTACCTACCACAACGTCCCATTCGGTTTAACGAAACAAAACCAAGGGGAAGCATACGGTCCGCTGGAGTAGTCAGCAACATGTGTGCGCATTTTGCCATTCAGGTAGTCCACCACCATCTTTTCCTCGTCAGGGTTGGGATATTGCGCGCCTCTTAGATTCCATGGCTTATGTGGGACGGCGTGGATCCGAATCATCGGAATCTTGTCCACATCCAGTCTCCCACGTTGATCGTCATTAAAAGCGTATGCACGATGCCTCTTCTTCATTAATCCTACCATCAGAGCCTTCTCTTGGGGTGAAAGGAAGTCAGGCTCTCCAATTATCAGCTTCCCTTCATTCTCATCATTGATACGACATGGACCACTCGATGCCTGCTCTCGCATGCGCCGTATCAATCCTCGCTCCCGCTCGTAATAGGCTTCCTCATCTTCAGTAACGAGCATGGGAACTGGGCGACACTTCCGTCTTGTACCGCCTTTGGGAGCCCTGCTTAAGCCGTCCCCTAAAAAAGGCCGGCTCGTTGTTTGTGCCTGCGCCATCGCAGGGCCTCCTCTCCCACCTGGAAGCCGGTAGATTAGTTCCACCTCTCCTACTTGAGGGCTTTCCAGAAATTGCTCCCTCACCGCCTTAATCGCCTCTGGGTCCGCCATATCATGTGTTGGCACCACTTCCATGGCTTTATTCACATCAGTGAGGCTCAGTGACAGCACTTCGGCCCCTCTTTCTTCCTCAGGCGCCTCCCAGAGCCTTCGCCGCTCGTTCTCAGATTCCTCATAAGTGAAGGAGCCGAGGTTAGGCCTATTCCTTCCACTCCCTGACCCTGTGTTTCGGTAGGTGATAACCTCATAATTTCCACAGGCCGGATCACTTATCAGCAGGATCATCGCCCCATTGTGCTTATTGAAAATCGGAGTCTCTGTCCTGCACAGGAACGATCTCCCCAAGAGTATAGGATGATCAACGTCTGGCATGATAAAGAAGCAAGCCCTCGCCCGTACTCTGTCGATCTCCACAATCACGTTGGATGTCGTGCCGCAAAAGACTGCCTTGCAATTGGCGCCATGCAGTATGTCGTGGTCTGAGCGGTCGATTTCCAATCCCAACATAATCGCATCCCTTTCCCGGATGATATTCATCTCGGCGCCCGTGTCCACCATTGCAATACACTTTTCGTCCCTCACCACCAAGTCCATCAAACCACATGCCACACATTTCCAGTCCATTCTCGTTCCCGCCTCCGTCCACTCTACTTCTCTTGGCAGGATCGTACTCGGATGGACATTGGGCACTAACCTCCGCGAGAGCCGCCCTTTCAAGCTATCTCGGAGCCTTGGGGCGGACGCCATAATATCCTTCAGGTTCATAAGGTCATTATGACCTTCTAGACGCCTGTCCACCATTCTTTCCACATCGAAGCCCTCTTCTAGCTGAACTGCGTACTTCTTCCTTTTAGGTACGCTATTGCGCTGGCTTGGCTCGGCTTCTTCCTGAACCCCTCTCTTCCTGGCCCTTAGCTCCGCTCGCCGATCTTCCTCTTGTCGGAGCCTCTCATCCTCTTCATCGTCATCCTCCTCTTCCTCTTCCAGGACCTCCACTACTTCTTTCCTGCGTTCGGGCTCAGGTTCCCTTCGAGGGGGTGCCTGACTAGGCGCCTGGCTGGGTGCTTGACTGGTACCAGCCTTACTTTGGCCTCTGGTTCATGCCGCTTGTGGCGCTCTTCCATGCGAAGTGGGGGGCCTATAGGTCATCCCTGACCTAGGGCCTGACCCCACCATCGCAACCCAGGATACCCCTGCTGTCCCGGCGCCGATCCAGGTCCGGATTCGTACAGGAAGACTCCAGGGAGGTTGGCCTTCCACTCCTGGGTCTCGTCACACAAGTCTTTCAATTTTTGTTGATACCTACTCACCTTCCTTCTCCAAGATGGTCATGGTCGACTCTCTCATCTCTCCCAATTCCTCATCATCCGATTTAATGACTATTGGCTCTTCCTTTATAGTCCCTGCCTTTAGTCGCTGATTCACCTCCTCACTCTCCTCCACGATCTCCTCGATCCTTATGGTCGAGTCCTACCTTTCTTGCCATAATCTGAACATTGCCGGAGGTGCTGGCCCTGTCGCTGCTCGCCTAAGGGCCTCTTGCTTGACCCCACCCGGAGTCTTTGGGTCAATATATTTTCCGAACTTATCGTATATGTCGCCGTCCATATTGGTGGAGATCAGTCCCGAAAGTTCGTCATCTCGCCGGTGTCGGCAAAATCGTATGGTGTGACCTATAACGCCGCAATGCCGGCAGATGGCATTCCGCCAATTAAAGCGGGGCCTTCCATATCCCTGGGCCCCCTCCTTACCACTTTGGTTGCCTTGGCCCTGACCTCCTTGACCATTCCATCCTCCACCACGGCCTCCGCCATTTCGCCCTTGTCCTCTTCCTCCACCTCCTCGTCCACCTTGGCCTCTGCCGCCCCTCCCGCCACGCTAGCCTGCGATGCTTGCTGCGTGGGTGGAGGCTGGGCTACAAATTGCCCCTGAACCGCCGAAAAGCTCGGTGGTCCTGCACTCGCCGGCGAGCCCGCATAAGGCACCATCTATCCCGAGGAAACTTGGCCTCCTCCCCATGAGTTATAGGGGTTACACATGGGCCAGGGTGTCATTGGGCAGAAGGGCGGCAACTGTCCATATGGCAATGGTGGCCCCATTTGCGAAGGTACTGCTGACATAGACGAGCCGGCGACATTGGGCGGTGGTGCTATAATCGCCTGCAGGATCTGCCCTTTTCCAGAGCCCTGCCATCCTATACCATATTCTGCACGAAGAAGTCAAGAAGGTTATAGCGGCATCAAATAACGGTTGGTCCCGATTTAAAGATGGGATGCAGAGGAAATATAGGTTGGGTGATGGGCTGCTAACGGCGGCGGATCTGGAAGCCGTTAACAGGAATGACTACACCACCGTTGGGGTGCTGGCCGAGGACTTTAAGAAAAAGACGAGAAAGGTCCCAGGGATTTCAGAGGAGGAACAATGTGCCATCTTCCTCGGATTGTTCAAATCTACGGAGGCCTAGGCTCACAAGCAAGGGATGGGGAGGTGAAAAGCTTACCTGGGCTACAATTGATAAAGGAGTACAGGAAGGTGACTTAGACGAAGTCCACCAGTTCCAAATGCGCCGCGTCCGCTATTCCAACCATCGCCTGCTCGACCAACTCGAGCCAATCTGAAACCCGCTCTCCCTTGAACAAGAAGGTCTCAACCTTCGGAACACTACCACGAGCCAGATCTCGCCGATCCAAAGCCTCGACCAAGTCGTCGAGTGTTATCTTGTTCCCACCACCGACAGAATTGGCTTCAGCTATTTCTCCTGGCCTTTTTGAGTCAGAACCCCTGATAAAAAAAAGGCAATCACTCCATTCAACAACCAATCGGCTTTGTAATATCATTACCGACTTAGACCTCACTTAGCCTACCCACATGACCACTAACTTAAAATCATCCTTTTTCCAACCTGGACAGGGATAGGGGTAATCTCTTAATCTTAACCGGATTTTTCCTAGAGTAATCCTAAATCACTTCTTATATAAATCAATTCACATGTCGTTTTGCCTAGATCGCCCATCTACCTTTAGCCTGGGCCTGATCTCTTCAGGACCTCACAAAATGAGATCCCCGGCAACAGCGCCACCTGTCGAGCGCATCGGTCCGGAACCGCACAACGCAGCGCGGGACCCTCCCGACCGCATCACGCAGGAGTTGGTCTTAATCCTCGTCGCTAATACCCATGGAGCTTCCACAAGTCGCTCCGACCGAGTGCGCCAGCCATACCTCTCGCGAGCCCCTGCGACAGGATAGGGCCAACACGAGGCAGGACTTACCTCCACCTTACGGGAGTTGTCACCTCCCTTCGGTGGGCGTATCCCCGCCGAGCTACCAGTCCACAGTACGAAAGCTGATCAGTTGCAATCGCAGAGGTGGACCAGCCGAGGGCGTTTCTCGTTCGCTGTAGCATAGGGGGTACGCGCGGTATTACGCCTCTATAGAACCCGCACGAGAACCGACATCTTGGGGGGCTGAGGTCCCAAGCGTGACTCGGCGTCGGTCGACTAGGACGCATCCCACACACCACTCGTACTCTACTTTAAAGAACATAAAAATAAAAATAAAAACACGCGCATACGCACACATATACAAAACGACAACGGACAAACAACGCGACAACACTCCTAATCCCTTCAGTAGCCATCCCATAACCTTCTGAGGCGGAAATTTGATAGGCGACGTGCGCGAGACTTAGTATAAAACCGAGCGGGCGCAGGGCCAACTCATATCAACTAGCAATGCAATCATACGCAAGCAGTCGCAATGATGGCGTACTATGTAGTGCCCATAATCAAGCGGTCCCTCGTGGATCCGAGCACTGCTTATGACACTCAAGTGTCAGACTCGAAGTATCATGAAGGCTTGCCCCTTTACGATATTGCACGACTGAAGGAATAACCGTGCGGTCGCCCCGGCACCTCCGGCCTTTAGGCTGAGTGTCTCGGCAGGCAGGGCAAATAGGCTCTGCACGGGGGAAGATCCCTTCCATGCAGAGTCTAGGACCTGGAATGTCCTAGACAAGGACCTCGAATCCAGGCCCAGGACCAACGTCCGACTAAGAAATCTTTTAAGAAACATTCAACAGTAACACGGGGTTTTCTTTCTTTTCTCAATCTCAACCCCTATTTAATCCTTAGGCGTGGGCCTTCACATGTCACACGAATCCCCAACATATATACATAGAGGGCGGGGGATGAAGTATGTGACGATCACTTCTCACAATCACAGTGGGACTCCTCATAGCCATATATATATGTGTCATCGCAGGCAGTCAAATCCAAAGCCGAACCACCAAACATACATGCAATCACATCAACGATTCAACCAAAAGTTCATGCACTACACGGGGTCAACTTCAACCAATCTCTATACGGATACCCCTCGCTTTAGCCATGCAAGCCCCAACCTTCGTCCAACCAACCTTAATTAAATACTCAGTACCTTTGTTAAATGGCCATTCAATAAAAGTCTGGGTGAAAACATAAATAAAACAATAAAATCACCAGGGCTAGCCTTTTAGGTTGAGCATTGAGAGTGAATTGGAGTTGAGTCGTAAGCCGACGAATCGGCAACCGCCCTGTTATCAGTAATAACAGAAGATGATCCTTGTAGGATCAAACTGAGTCTAGTCCCGATCTTGAATCAAACAATCAAGAGGAATTGTAACACAGACAGGCCAATTCCCAGGCTAAACCTATAAGTCCATGGAGAATAATTTCCATATCACGGTCTCAGTCAAAAATCGCCCTAATTAACTAAGTCTGAGTCTACCTCTAAGCAAAGTACTCAAGAAAAGGTAGATTCTGACAAGATCTCCTCCATACAGAGTGGATCGCCAGAATCGCCACCTGTCAAAATATATTCCAACTTTTCTAAGAAAATTTCGGCAGCGCTTCCCGTAGGAAAAGTGCCTTTCCAAAATTAATATAAACTCAAATATAATCTGAAATAAATCTCTAACTTAAGAAGGCTTAAATTTTGTCTAACTTCCTGAATTAGTAAAAATTTGGACAACACTCCCTTTAGAAAGGGAGACTTCCCAGATTTATACTACTTCATATTTGAACTCAAAAGATAACTTGAATTCAACTAAAACAAAATTCAGCCAACTCCTTAATTTTGCAGAAATTTCGGCAGCACTCCCTTTAGAAAGGCGTTATTCCAAAATTCATACAAAGCTAATTTCAGAATTTGAAAATAATTTTGACCTTTCAAAGTCCAATTTTTGTCTAATTCCCTAAATTAGTAAAAGTTTGGGTAGCATCCCCTTTAGAAATGGAGACTTTCCAAATTTTTACTAAGTCATGTACAGAACTTAGGCAAGTTGTGACTAACTCATTAGATTTGTAAAAATTTCGGCAACGCTTCCCGTAGAGAGTGGCTTACCAAGATTTATACAAGCCCAAGTATAATAAATGATCTCAGAAAAATGCACGCTTCCCGTAGATAAAGTGGCTTACCAAGATTTATACAAGCCCAAGTATAATAGATGATCTAAGAAAAATGCAAAAATTGATCTAAGTAAAATAAAGTTAACTCAGAAAATGCAGAAATTGAAACTTACTCTTATGACTCTAGCACGTGGCAAGCAACTAAAGCAACTAGCTATCAAACTGAAACTCAGACTAGGTAGTGATCTCACTCAGCCACATGCAAGGCCACGCCACAAAGGTAAGTACTCTCACCAACCCAAATCACCTTTAGCAAACAAATAGTTCATAGTCTTTCAATGTTTTATCCCTTCATACCCAGCTTACATAGGACATTGAGTTAGGCCATTCATCTTAGAAACAATGCCAACTCTTTGTCTTAGTTATACACGAACAGGCTGCACAACTACTTTTCTCTTCATTGGGCATATGACTAAGTCATTCGTCTTAGAAACAATGCTTAGTCGCCCTGATTTGTTTAAATAGCCAAGTTATATATATCTCTCTTAACTTAATCTTCAAAAATGAGAGAAGGACTAAGTCATTCATCTTAGAAACAATGCTCAGCCGACCCAAGTTACCTTGAGTTATAGCTCTTAGTTATACTCTCTTGATTTGTGATAAGGCTATAGTCAGACCATTCATCTTAGAAACAATGTCTGGCTAGCCTTGTTCTTATAAACATCTAGATATAAAAAATATAAAAAGTCATATTCCTATGTTCACATTATAATCCTGTGGCCTCAGACTTAGACCATTCATCTCAGAAACAATGTCCAGTCTTTGGTCTGAACCTCCCCTAAGAATAAAACAACCAAAAGAGTTGAGCCATTCATCTTAGAAACAATGCTCAACCCTCTTTTCTGAACACACAAAAAAAGCAGAGTACCCTGGGTCAAGACCCGGAGACTGTTCAGAAACCACCCAAAAACAAACAGCGACCAGACCATTCATCTTAGAAACAATGTCTGACCCTCAAAGTTTGCAAATCAATATCCTATAGAAACAACAACCAGGCCATTCATCTTAGAAACAATGTCTGGCTTAAATTAAATAAACACAGCGACCAAGCCATTCATCTTAGAAACAATGCTTGACCCTTCAGAAAACAGAACAAAACACGACAGTCAGGCCATTCATCTTAGAAACAATGCCTGACCCTATAAGACCCGTTCAAACGCAAGCAAAACTGCCTTCCACCCAACCTTCCCCCTGATGCAACCCCTTTTCACAATCTGCTTTCAGACAAGCAACAAAACTGAAACTGAAACTTGTGCATGCATTCTTTTACTTAGTCTGGGTTGTGTCATGAAAGTCAAACTGAAAGTCAAAGTAGGGGTGCATTCAATATACTCAGTCAGATACATAGAAAGATGTATAGATAGGGGTTATAACTGGGTTTATAAGGGAAAACAATGGTTACCTCCGAGTTCCCCGCCGCCATAACCCCTCCTAAGTTCCGGCAGAGCTCCCGCAATCGGTGGGTTGACTCCCCACAGAGTCTTAACGGGGACCTACAAGTTGCAATCCC